TTATGTCCTAAAACATGCTGCCAATGGTTTTCTACAAATATTTTACCTGAATATTTCAAAATATCACCAAAAACACGCCTTACTATCACACACACACACACACACATATATATATATATATATATATATATATATATATATATATATGTATATATGCATGCCCTTGCACTTTCAATGTTTGAGTTTATCCATACATGTACACCAACTTGCCCTGTAATACAATAATGGATGTACATCTTTTTTCTATGTCTCTCCATCATTACTCCAGGGACCGCCTGCGTACTACCATCAATGTTCTTGGTGACTCACTCGGCGCAGGTATAGTGGAGCATCTCTCACGTGCAGAGCTACAGAACTCAAAGTCCAAGGTGTGCAATTCTGTGATTGAAGAGAACGAGAAGCCCTACCAGCTCATCTGCCAGGAGAACGACACCATCAATCACCGCCACAACAGTGAGACCACAATGTAGAAAGGACAAACTACTCCTAAAGAGACATTTGCATTATCACCACATGATACCAGGTACTTTGAGTTAACCAGCATTTCAGTGATTCTATCAAGAGAGTGTTTTGACCAGTTGTTATTGTTTAACTAATGAAATTAATTTTTGAATCTCTAAAATATACAGTAGTTAAAACGCTAAACAAGTGACTGTCAACTTCGCCACAGTCCCTGGTCTCTGAGGTGAAAACGCAGACTGATCTTGGTACTGTTACTTGTTCTCGGTTCTTTGTTGGATACGTGCCTGTAGCAGACATTTTGTTGTAAAGTGCTAGTTTGAATTTTAAAATCTTGTGCAGGAAGTACTCAGTAAAACAAACATAGACTATGTACTGTTCATTACCAGAAGTACAGACTTCTGGTCCACCTCCAGTGTTGTAACTGTATTAATACAATTATTATTTAAATTGATGAAATAGTTTTTGTTTTACATTTGACAGTCAAATGTCTTCACATGTGTTGCTTTCTTATACATATTTAAGATTTGTGACTATTTTTAGTAATTAATGTGATGTTGCTTTGAAACCTTGGCATCGGACTGAACTTTATATTGACAGTAATAATATCTACAGTTGTTGACTCTACATATATTTATCATTTTTACTCTGTTTCAGGATTTTTGGAGGTGACATTTTTAGTATTTTAGGTGTTTTTTTAGTGGGATTAAATTAAAAAAATAAAATAAAATGAAATGAAAACAATGATTTGCCAAAAAAAATTATCTTAAAAACTGAAATTTACAAATGTTACAATTTATTTTTTCCATATATATCCACATGTGTATAAAACCCTGCATGACACAGGAGTCTGGAATATTGGAATGGAATACTGAATGGAATACTGAATACTTGTTGTGTGAACAGTAGTGTGAAAACCTAGTGAATGCCTTCAGAAAATTGAATTTACACTTTGCGTTATGCTTGTCAGTGTCTCACAGGAGAGTGTGCTCCAGTGTTGTGTGAGAAAGAGACAGCTTTTTACAGCATCGTTAAACTGAAAGTTCTAATGACTTTGTGCCACGTCCGTGATAGTAAAGAGGCTTCCCTTGGATTTCTATGCTTGATGTTATTTCAGTAAAAAGTATTCTTTGGCTCAACACTTTCGATGGACTGCTTGTTGGTGATAAATGTGACAAATAAATGGCTCAGGAAGTGATCTCTGCCTCTCATTATTGTGTTTGTAGCTACCCCTGGTGGAGGATGTCTCTCTCGGACACTACCATCGTTCTACCATCGGCTTCATTTGTTCAATGTCAGGAGTTCATCTTGTTTTCACCATAAGATGTTGGAAATGTTAATAATAATTTTCCTCCTGTTGCTAGGGGTTATTAATAAAATTACATTTTGTTTCCTAACAGCAATTGTTGAGCTAAAGGTCATCAGTGGTGTTCCTGCAACTGCAATAAGCCAATTATCTATTTCATAATATTCTCAGCATTTCCTTCTGATTTGGTCTTTTGTCCAATCTTATACTTTACAGTAAACACATTCATCTCCAAGACAGTATTTCAGGGAGTTGACCAGCTGGCCTTCACATTAGCCACTCGGAGACATTTCTTTACCAGCTTTGAAGTATGCTTCAAAGGTTCCATGACATTCTGGAACACTAACCAGTGATGGTCCAGTTTAGCTTTAATTACCTGAGTTGTCTTTGATGGTCTGAGTTTCTTCCTTCTCCATAGTTCCTTCCATCCTCACAAGTTTTCCAATTTTCCGGCCAACCTCTGGATAATGTTTCTTTCTCCAGACTTTGTAAATCTGGCGTCAATTTGTTTTTAACCCTGTTAAAAAGTATTTTATGAAATAATTATAAAATAAAACAAACAATGGTATAAAAAAACAAAGAAAAACTTACTCATTTAATGGAGCCTCAGAAAGTTTAGTAACTGAGTTCAGCATCCATCTGCTACCAGGACGCCTCCTGTAGGTGGCAGTAATACAACTCAAAGGGCCCGAAGTTAGAGAAGAGGAGTGTAAACGGAGGGGGACTTCAGTGGCGGTCATAATACAAACATCTGAACAACACGTTTACACGTCAACTTTTAAATTACTGTGTGAATGCAGCACCACAGAAGAGTGGAGCTCTGCACTTTGATTAAAAAAACGGTCACATCATCATAGTAATTATAGCTATAATTATTATAATTTTTTTCTCAACTGTACATGTAATATATTCAATCTATATATCAACACGGATTCTGTTTACATTGTACGTTAGCATACAGCATGCTAACATTTGTTAAGAGCTAATTTTTGCTAACTCGTAAAGTGAAAGGTGACATCGTTTTTAATTAATCTATAATCTGAGAATAACTCAGCTATAAGACATTGAGACACACGACGAAAAAAAAAACTCCGACCACACACTTTGAAGTTATTATGTCAGAATAATTTATAAAATAGCTCAGCAGGTTTACTGTCTTTAAACATAAAGTACATTCTTCTACAACACGTGTGTGTGTGTGTGTCAGTGTGTGTCGCACACACAGCTAAGCCCTCAGTGTTAACAGCTGTGCCATGTTGTGGTCTGAATCATTAATACTTTGGCTTCCTTTCGTCATGGACTGTGGCTGAAAAAAGACACATTGTATAAACTGCAGGGTGATGATGTCAAACAGTGGACTGAGGGCCTAATCTGTACACAGCTCCTCAACAGCTACGACACAAAGGTGAACCGATCGGTCGCTAACGTGACCAAGAGTGGAAATGTGTAACAGTCAGATAGAGAAGAACCGTTTAAAAACCTCAGACAGCTACTGTACCAAAGAGCAGGATGTTTCCCCACACAGTAAAACCCCATCTACTGCATCATGTCGTTACACATGAATGAATGTTTACAAGTCACAAATAAGCACTGAGTATCTTGTTGATATACAATATTATTATTATTACTGCTTATGTACTTGTTTCACACCAGCCACGACTAGTTAAGGTAGACACTTTCAGGCAGACTCTGGCAAATAACAGTATGAGCCATAAAAAAAAACCAAAAAAACATTTTAGCTTATTTTACAAGATGTACTCCTCTGTTGAGACTGATCCAGCCGCACGTTTGGGATTATTTCAAGCACAGTTCATATTGAAATATCTAAAGCCATTCAAATATGTATTGCCGCACGATCTGGTCCCGGGGAGAAGAGGGAGTGTTAAGAGAAGGAGACAACTTGAGAGACAGCAAGCTTTGCCATGTTACGGAGACAAGCTGCTCAGCTTTTACTTGGCCTTGAGGACAAAAAAAAAAAGAAAAAAAAAAACAATATTAAGGAGACACGTTGGAAACGATGTCTTGCAAGTTCATCATGACGACATAATATAGGCACTTACTTATGACTACGAGTTGCCATCCACTTTATCCGTCCACGCTGAAAACTGCCCAGTTATCCTTCTTGTCCTGATGACAACAAAAATTACATGTTAACGTCTAAGATAAGAACAGTGACTGTCAGAAATCCCACTGCCATTTTCAAAAGAAAAATTCTCTTTAACATTTTCTTGTAGCTGCCATTAAATTTTATCTATCAAAAAATTTCTACACCAATGACAAAATGCATTTTTCTGGTTATGTTTGATTTTAAAAAGCTTAAATTCAGTGTTCAAATTGAACTGTTATAATGACAATGACAATCTACTACGGTGTTTTATTATTTTCAATATTTTCCCTTTTTTATAGTACTACAGGATTCCAGGTGCCTCATGGGTAAAATCTGGAGGTGCTGGAAAAGCTGTGTGAGAATTTTGCAAATTAAAAAACTTTCTTTCTTAGAACATACAGTTTGAGTCAAGCCAATAAACAGGCAGTACAACTCGAAAGAACAATATTTCCTGTTGGAAAAGGTTGTGTAAATATTATTAGATTGGCATAAAATAAAAACATGTTGTTTAACAGGACAACAAAGTTTTTACGCCACAGGAATTACGTCGTATACTTCATATGGTAGTTCCTTCGATCCAGACAGACATCAGTTATTGTTTATGTCAAATCTAATAGACTTCAAATGATGCTGACCTCTGACATCACAGGCAGGTTGTCACGGGGAAGGAGCCACATGGTTCGGTGAGTCTTGGTTCTTTGTCTCATCAGCAGTTTTCTGAGCAACCTCTTCACCTTCCTGTCTCTGGGGTCCGCACACTTCACCGCTTTCTTGGTGTAAAGACTATAAAAAACAGGGGGAAAATAAAATTAATACATTTTTAACATAAGGTTCTTTGGGGTCCAGAATCCTGGAGTACGGAAGGAAACTATACAGGATCACATTGAATAGTTTTAAAGGGCAAAGAATAGATAAGGGTTTTTTTCCCTCTGCTGGAAGTTGCAGAAAGAGTACGAGTATAAATTGTTGTATATTGTATATCTTGAAGAATCTGATGTTTGATGAATTAACAACCACATGAAAAGAGAGCTTTTCATTCCCCAGCACCATCAGATGACTCCGACTTACTGGAAACAAAGGTATCAGAATGGAACATGGTTTTCTTAACTAATCCCTGCTGTTTTGAAGAACTGCAGCGGGGGCTCAGCTGGCTCACAAGTTATTTTCAGATGATGGTGTGTGTTATTCCCACATATTTCCTTTCTTACTTCTTTGGCGAGTGCAGCTCTGAGCCCTTCCATAACAACATGGCCTGGAAACGTTTTCCCTCCTCTAACAAGAGGCATATTTTCCATGCCTGCAGATCGCTATGTGATCTTTAGCTCCAGGAGTGGATAGTTGAAATACTTGCATGAGGGCTTGTATGCTGCAGTCTGGCCCCTCCGTCTGCACCTCGAACCGCAGCACATCTTTGGTACGCACCTTGCCGTGGGAGTACAACATACAGCACTGGACGTCCCTCTGCATCTGCACGCCTTTACCTATAGGAACAGAACACCGACTTAGGAGTGGGAATTCTGTCACATTTCAACTTTTGCAGAAGGATTATCCGCTGCAGACCTGTGTTTAACAACACACACATTCACACTTCCCACATGAGTTAAAAACACTGTGCCTTCCCCACAGAGTAAAGCAATAGCACTGCATTGAATTCACCCACAGGACCATTGGAATGACGTTATGAAATACATGCTGTGTTCAACCTATTTGGCAACTTCTGTGGACAGAAATATGTAATCTGTTCTGCAGAGTGTGTGCACAGCCCCTCACACTCACATATGGACACAAACAGAAAACACGCAAGAATGTGAGAGGAACTCCATTCAGCAGCCAGGAGGAATTAGGAGACAAAGTGACAGGAGAATAGGAGAAGTGTGTGTCTGTTTGCACATGAGAGTGTCGGGAGAGAAGCAGGGACAACCAGAGGTGGGAGACATGGCACAGACAACACAGGGTCCATCCTCAGCCTCATCACTTTCTGAGCTCACACAACATTTACCGACACGGTCAAGGTGACATCGTCACACAGTGGCAGCCCTTACACACTTGCTTTTCTGTGGGTGTGTGTGTGTGTGGCTTCAGATGCTTGTCGTCCTCTGCTCTCACTCTGTTTACATCCATGCCTCCCTCCCTCCCTCCCTCCCTCCTTCCCTCCCTGCTGCTGCTCCTGTTTCTATCCCATTGTCCTTCTTTCTATCCTCGCCATCACTCTCTTGTGCAACACTGTCCACCTGCAGGTTGCACACAAGCCATGCAACAGTCTCTCACACACACAGGGCCCCTGCACATGCACATGCACGCACACACACAGAGACAGAAAGTAAGTATGCATATGCACCTACCTTCCACAGATATGAGAAGGATAACAGTCAGGGAGATAACAGTCAACAGCTGCAGCATGAGCATGGTGAGGCTGGCAGAGATGAGGAGAATCTACTGTCACCTCTCCTTCTATGGCTGCCTCTCTTATATCACTCCCTCCCTCTCTTTATACCTCCCTGCCCATCTCTTACTCTCTCTCTCTCTCTCTCTCTCTCACCACCTCTCTTTTCTTATCTTACCGTCTTTCCCTCCCACCCTCTCCTTTTTCTTCCCAGTCATTCTCACTCCTGAACAAAATTCCCTCCCACACTCATTTTCCCTCTCTTCCGCACCCATCTCACCTCTCGCTCCTCATTTCTCACGTGTAGTGCCAAGCCTCGTTTGTCTCAGTGCAGGCTTTGAATTCCCCATTTATCCCTACCTTTAGGGAAAAACTGTTCAGTGCCAACAACTCATTTTGCTTATAAAATTAGTTGGAATCAGACTGTAGGATTTGCATCACACGATCAGCCAAGACCTGAGTTTTTAAACAGTTTTTCCCAGTGCAGTCCAATCGCACATAAAGGCTCCATGCACTTTACAAATCATCAGAGATGAAAAAAAAGTGGGCATGTCACATGTGGACTGTTGTAAGAACAGTTCTGTGTCGGACTGTGGACGACCCGCCGGACACAGCAGGGGGAGGG